CAATGCTACAGAAATTATGAAATTGCAAATCAACCTTCAAATTTAATTGTCGCTAATAAAAATTTTGAAACAAAAATTTTTCCTGTCTGTGGGCTAGTAAAATAGTCTGTGGGCTAGTAAAATCTCTAGTAAACTAGCCCAGTGGGCTAGTTACCAAAAAAAGTTAGGGCAAGCCCTGCCCACTGATTAGGAATATCCCACTGATTAGGGATATCCCTATTAAGGGATAAAATAATTCGTCGGGAAGAAAAACAAAAAATCTACATGTTAGCATAGGCCTATGAGACTCTAAAATTGATTGATAAGCCTTTGAAACCCCTAAAATTGACATATATTTTTTTCGGCATTTGACCCTGAACCACTTTCGAAAGATTTTGAGCGACTCCCGTCTTCCACGCCCACTTGCTGTCGTCGAGAGAATATCCCAACCCTCCCTCGTCGGGGACATCAGACCCTCCGTCGGGCATGCACGTAGTGGAGCCACTCCTGAATGAATAAGCTTAGAGTGACCCGTATTGTATTTGCGAGTGACATGTTATTGTAATTGCTAGTAAAATCTGGTAAAATGTGTGCAACTGTATTTCCATTTTTTGCAATAACATGATGATGCACAGTACAATGCAAAGGCCTATTATATTATAATACCCCATTGGAGATCTAAGGTGATGAAACGGTTGGACGCCAAATTGAATTTGACTCTCTTTGGTTTCTTAATGTCTGAGTCATTCCTTATGTACACTGAGTAGTTAAGTTGTTTAGCAACTGGAACCAACATTTCTTTTATCTTTGAAAATAATTGATTATTGGTCTCCTTTGAAGTTGACTCTTGTGTGCGTTTGAATGTATGAATTATTAGTTTATTTCAATTTGTTTAGCAACTGGAACCAAATGATTCATTAATGTTTTTAAGTTTTTAAACAACTGGAACCACGTTTATAGTATGTATTGTTTCTCATTATGCATTACCCAAACATATTGTATCTTGCTTGTATAATACCCAAAAGGTCAACTGATAATGCCATCAAATGATAGGCATATTATATTATAATGAATTAATGCAATAGGCTGGCTATGCAGGTACACGTCACATTCGTGTTCTTTGAAAACATTGTTCATGATGTTAAAGGCTTATATGGAGGTACTACGTTATGATACCTCAATGTGTATACTGGCCTTACGCGTTACATTGATACGATTTACTTTGTTATGTTATTTTCAATATTATTTTTTTCAAAAAAATAATGTGCTTTTATACAAGTCATCATCTTATTTTAACCGGGAACCTTCTCCAATCTAGGCCTATCATTCGAGCAGTCCGCCCGCCTACCAAACATTAACTGGCCCATGGATCAAAGAGGCACCTCCATGATGGTCTAAGCATGGAGGTATTATACCAAGGTCGAAGATTCAATTCAATTCAATTCTGCTTTATTCCACAAATGTCACAATTAAACATTCTCAAAATATGTGGAAAGGGTATCCCGCCACAAGCATGCTATACGGTATATATATA